ACAAATGGCACGAGTGGAAGTACTGAAAGCCAGGGAACAAGTAGACGGCTTCGTAAAGCACTGAAGAGGGACGCGAAAGAAATCGTGCTCAACGTGTTCAATTATCTGAACAGAACTATGTCGCAGGGAGATGCACTCGCGCGTTGTGAAAGTATGACAGGCGTTCCAGAGTGGACCATTCGCAGGGTGGTGCATGAAAAGAAGAAAACTGGAGCTACTACTGATCCAAAGTTTAATTTGAAGGGACGAAAGGCCGTTAAATTGGCTGACGATAGCAAAATTGCGTTAAGGCGAACCGTACATTCATTCTTCTTTAGGAATGAGATACCAACCCTCAAGGCTGTACATGCAGCGATCAAGGAAAATGAAATTATACCGCAAATGAGCGTCGAGGTAATGAGGAAATCCCTGCACGAAATTAATTTTCGTTGCGAAACGCGTAATCGGAAGTCAGTATTGATAGAGAGACCTGAAATAGTCGCCTGGCGTCGAAAATACCTACGCGAAATGATTGAATATAGGCGACAAAGCAGAAAAATCTATTATTTGGACGAGACATGGGTAAATGCAGGTAACACAGTTAAAAAAACCTGGATAGACAAAAACGTAGTGAGTAACCGACAAGCAAGCATTGAAGGTTTGTCAACAGGTCTTCGGGGACCGTCAGGGAAAGGTCAAAGATTGATCGTAACTCCTATTGGTAGCGATAGTGACTTTTTAGAAGAGTGTGACTTGATTTTCGTCTCTAAGAAAGGAGGTGATTACCATGACGAAATGAATGCCAGCTGCTTCGAGAGCTGGTTTCAAGGGGTGCTTCAGCGAGTTGAGCTCAACTCTGTGATCGTCATGGATAATGCTTCCTACCATAGTCGTCGAGCCGAACGTGTACCGACTATGGGATCTCGAAAAAGTGACATGCAGCAATGGTTGCGCGAAAAAGGAATCCCGTTTGACGATTCATGTGTGAAAGCGGAATTGTATGAAAAAATTAAACAGCACAAACCTGCGAACATTAGTTACGTGACTGATGAGATGGCCCGTCAATGTGGTGTCACTGTGCTGCGGTTACCGCCCTACCACTGTGAACTGAACCCAATAGAGCTCATCTGGGCTCAAGTGAAGGGTTATATTGCGCGCCATAACACAACCTTCAAATTACCAGACGTTAAGGTTTTACTCGAGACTTCCATACAGCTAGTAACGCCCGAAGCTTGGCAGAATGCTATCCGTCATGTTGTGAAGGAAGAAACAAAAATGTGGCAGCTTGACCACCACATCGACACCATCATAGAGCCAGTTATAGTCAATTTCAACGAGGAAAGCGATAGCGACAGTTTATTACTGTCAGATGTAAGTGGAAGCGACGATGAATACAGGTAATTCCCAATTTTTTGACTTACAATATGTTTCAAACCACTCTTTATTAAGCATGTGACATATCTAGTTCACCCATGTTAAACATTCATACCCCGCCTATGAATAGCCGACTACTGGTAGTTAAGTGATGTTCACGTGAACATCGATGAGTCATTACAGTTTTAGATAGTTATAGTATAGGCAAGGTGGTGATGACCATCGCTCTTCAGCCGGCTTCTATCTCTCTCTTACGTGTGTTGATACGCACTTCTCTCTCACACACAATGAACTCATGCCGTCAGACAAATTTGGTTTTCCCTGTATTCAAATAGCTCGGTAAATTGACTTCTGGCATCTATTTAGCAAACACCTCGAATGGGAGCAGTAATCCAGGCTGTCGAATATGCAGGTGAAATTAGATTCGGCAGTTTATTTGGCATAAACCTCAAATGAGAGCGAACCATAAAAACACAGTAAGTAATAAAAATAATGTTTATTAAAAAAAAATGTATATACAATCCATCGGATACACTTTGTTAAAAAAAAATAAATACTGTTGTACCGCATTTTGTCAAACATATACTTTGGCCTTAAATTATAAATTTACACACAAACATAAATATATACAGATCTGCATCGAACATAACACAAAAATGGAATGTTGGCAAATATGTGCCATGTTTTATACAGACCAAAAACTCATCTAAAGCGAATGATTTCTACGAATTCAAAACGTTGCACCCAATGAAACAAGAACTGTGGAACGAGGAAGTATCAATTAGATATATTAGATTAAATACTGTGTTATTAGATATTATACCGATCAATTTTGATGAAAACTTGTATAGCTGGAGCTAAAGCTGCCTGCACTTGTCTTTATTGTAGACTTAATAATCTACTGAAAACCACGTGTACACATACAATATACACAGGGCGGCCCAACGAAAATGGAATGTAATTCGATATAAAACTATAAAAGGTAATCGAAAATGATTTGCGCAGCAAGACTGACACATCTTGGTGCTTATCTTTAATTATTTGGAGATATACAGGGTGCTGCATGATAAAGGTTTTTTTTCAATGTGCAGCTTATCTTTTATTATGCATAATCAGATAATCGTTCTAATAAATCAGTATTAATATACGGGATATTTAATTCAGAATTGCTAGCGTCCTGAAAAAGTTGGCGTTATTTTTTATCTTCTTTTCAGACAATTGATAAAAAAACTAAACAAATGACGGATAAAATCCTACTGTATATGGTATAGGGACTTTCAGAATATCTGATATAATACAGGGTGTTCCATTAAAAAAACATGTTTGTTGTGCAACACCCTGTACGTTCCCAAATAATTTAGAGATACACATCTATACAATGTCAATCTTGTCACCCAAACCGTTTTCTAATATCTTCTATTAAACGACTTTCCATTTTCGTTGCGGTATCCTGTATGTATTGTAAGTGTTCACGTGATTTTTTTATATCGTCAAGTTTTCTGGGCTAAGGCACCAAATTTGAACACCCTGTATCTCCAATACAAATTATTTCTGGACTTTGGAATATCACAACATGAACTATTAGTACCAGATTATTTATTAAAATTGAGCGGTGGTAAATTTCCATATCGCTGCTTCTCAAGAATAGTGGCACTATCCAAAACACGAGAAAAATTGGTTAAAATCGCAGATACTGCAAATGTTGACTATTTTTTCAGGAATAAAGGCATTAATCAATCAATATCGAATGTTTTGGGGTTCTGTCATGGATAATGTCATATTGCAGTTGCTGTTTGACTTTCAAAGCATAAACGTACATTTTTCTCAAGAATAACGTCATATTAAAGCAAAGTACGCTGATAACCGATCGTGTTAATCAAAAATAGTGACATAAAGTGCATTGTGACAATGTTACAAAAACATGAAAATACTGAAAATAAGTTATTCAAACTATCCGATGTTAAAATAATAAGGGTAGAATATCAACATTCTAGAACATTTTTTTACAAAAACTCATACAGTGAGACTGATGTTCGTAAAGTTGAGGTAGCTAAAAAATCTTATAGAAGATCTAAGAAAAACGAAGCGACAAAAAGAGGTCATAGAGTTACCCTGAATAAAGCATATAAATGTAATATTCCCATTTCCGAGAAAAAGAAAAGCGCCTTACTTAATTTAGTGAAAAAATATAATTTCCTCATATAATGAGAGATCTTACAATGATTTGTAACTAATTTTTGTATAGTACTCGTTTTTTTCCGGAACTTACCTTTGATTGGTTAGTTCCACGTAGCGTTTAAAATGATTTGTGTATCATTGGTAGTAATACTAAAATAAATTTTCCCTCTTTGTTCTGTAACCACGAATTATTTAATGGTCATATATTTTTTTAAGGAATAATGACACATTCCTGTAAAGTGGCAAAAAAAGTAATAAAATGGGATATTTTTGTAAACATACTGATCTTTTATTCAATGAACCTTATTTAATAGATAATTTTTCAAAATTATTAACTTGATCTTCAGTTGTTCGAAATTGTTCTTCAAAAAATATAAAAAATGCCTTTCCTGAAAAAAAGCATATTTTTGAAGTGTCACTATTCTTGAGAAACAACAAGTTTTGTGACTGTTACTTTTGAACTTATACCAAAATTCATACAAAAGATATTTTGTTTTTCTATGTTTCTCAAATGGTGTGCATCCATGGAAACTAGAAACCATTCAAACCAGATTAGTATCAACTGTATACAGATGTAAAAATTAACTATTAAAAGTACAAATAAAAAAACTAAAGACTAGACAACAACCAACATAAAACCAAAAAATAATTCCAAATGTCAAAATTTTCATGTTTTCGAATAGCCGAAAGCATAATTTTATTTTCATTTTTGTATGTGTATGTTGTTTCCATAACATCACAGAATCATTTTGTTAACTAAATACGTATTCTACGTTTCGATCAAGTATTTACAAAAGAAAATAAAAGCACAAATAAATAATCAAATATCCTTTGCCTCAAATTTTGAGAAATCGTTGGAAAAACTGTAAAAAATTATGTATTTTTTGATGACTCGTAAAAACACGTATACTGTAACAGCACTTTGCAGGTTTTTGTGAAAAATAACTTTATAATTCTAACATCAGGCCTTTTTCTCAAAAAAGATATAAAAATATGAATAAACTGAGTTAAAAACAATAAAAATTACTAAAATATACTTTTAAAATAAAAAATGCATTTTTAGTGCTTTTTTGAAAAAAGGGACAGATGAGCTCCGTAGAGTTACAAAAAATGTATCACTATTATTATTATAATGGTAAATTTTACTTTAGTAAACATGGAAAACGAAGCTTCATAAGCTGATATTTCCCAAAAATATACAATTCGAATAGGTAAGATACAGCAAAGGTACAGTCTACGAAAACCAAAAGTTTTGATTTTCCGTACATTAATATGACACTAAAAATGAATTTGAGATCAAAACAACGCGCAATCCAAAGTGCTTAAAAAATCTTAACTTATAATGAAAATTAAAATACTACTGGTAAAACAGAGATCATTACGAAATAATTTTTGGTTATGTTTATCTTATACATTTCAACTTCATAAATAAAATTAATTTTAAAATAGTAACACATCAAAACAATTTTGCCATTCTGCAAAATATATCAACGATAATGATGAATTTTTCAGTAAGCACGAGTCAATGTTGGAATAGAATGAAACAAGTTATGTGTAGTGTTAACGATTTTTTCATGTCATAAATAAAAAAAATTTTTGATAGCGTGTTTATACCATTTCAACATCAAATCGTCCTTAGTGGAAAATTCGTTAGGCGATCCACATATAACCATCGTTTGGATTCAAGTCGAAATAAAATCTTAATTCAATTACTGTGAAAATAAAAAAAAATATCAAACCATTGTTATATGTGTACCATGCTATATTTTTATCAACAGATATCAATGAAGTCCACGAGAAAAAATTTCATATGGCTGATAAGCCTTATTTTTATATCAGTATTCAAAACTGAGTCATTTTCTAATTTTGTCATAAATTGGATACTGATCGCTGGATACAAAAAATGATGCTTGATCGAAATATGGGGTTTCGTTCCATTAACAAATGAAATTTGAGTATAAGGCGTCTTTTGGACATTATTATTGACTCTTGAACAGATACTCATAAAAAAGTGGAGATGAGTATATTTTTAGAGAGACAGAACAAAATAATCTGACTGGTGTATAGAGACCTTTTTCTAGGTAGCTTCAAAGTGAGTATTCTTCTAACCCGCATCATTTTTTGTATCCTCTATTTTTGTGTCAAACTAGCATCAAAAATAAATGCTTTCAACCTCTGTAGGTGTTTCAGGTTGGCCATATTGTGGGCTCTCGTAGCCTTGCTGTGAAGACGCATTCTTTTCGTGTTCTTTCATTTGTTGCTGTACCTGTGGTGAAGCCATACTTGCAACAGCACTATCGATTACTGATACAAGGTACTCCACTGATCTGGAAAGATATGAAAAATGTAAATAAAAACGTGTACAACCAATTTTGGAATGAGAACATTTTCATTTACAGAGTTTGACACAGTCCGGACTACAAAAAAAAAATGATTACTTCATAATACAAGCAAGAGTAGGTAGTTCAAACACAAAGGTGCTATTTGAAAATATCATAGTACAGGTAAGAAAGCAAAAACAGACAAAACCTGACAAATATATCCAATTGTTCTGCAACGTGGTTAGTGGAAAAAACTTTCAGATGTTTGTTCTAGGGGCAAGCAAATAAAACGCATAATAAAATATACTGGAATCTAGTATAAAAAGTTTGATTTGCTTGTAACACCAGGAAACGTAACGAGGATTCATACGAGAGAGTATTCAGAAAAATAACGTCTAAAAGTGAGTAGAGGACATTACTAACCTGAGAGCAATATTGAGCATAGAGCATGTCTCCCTTACAGCAGCGTCTGCCGTTGTGAGCTTCAGACCACGAACTGCTGAAGCAATACAGGCAGCCGCTATCACGCTCGGTGGTGTTTGGATCAGGCTGGGTTCTGGAACAAAATAAAAAGAACATTTATACTTTGTCATAGGAGCGAAAAACGGGGTACGTGCGGGGTACTACGTATCTTGAAAAGTGACATTATATTGTTTTTTTTTGTGACATTATGTAGGTTTTTCTACAAGATTTTAGCTTAGCACTAGCTGATGGACACGTTTTGAAGTTGTACGTGCTGCCTAAACATCATGAGGCTTCAGTTATCAATGTTTAGCTCTGATGTGATGTAAAATCTGCTTCAGAGATGGCATTACTGGAGGTAACGGCAATGCATAGGTGCATAGTGAGGATTTGTGTGCTAATAATATGTGTTGATGATAATTCCATTCGATTCTTGCCTCAAATACACCTGCTTGTGATTCAAAGCTAGAAATTAGTTGCGCAACCACTTTTTCTTATTGATTCTGGAAATTACATATTAGGCAAATTTGCTGAATTTCAAGAATGAAAGAAATAAATAATTTTATTCACTGTACACCGTCAAATGACAAGTCCTGTTCATGCTAACATTAATTACACACAACGCGAGCGCGGTGGTGATTTCCCGTTATTATCCTCAAACACAAAAAAAAAACGAAAAAAATCGTAATTTATAACTTTGAACATAACTTATCTTCAGAAAGGACAACATATAAATAACCCGTCGGGCACAGCTAATAGATATACTTCATTGACAGCATATTCAGTAATTATTTTCTCACACAGCAAATATCATTGATTTTCTACACATGCAGACCAATACACATAATCGTCCAGATGCGATCTTGCTATTCAACCAACTTTCTTCTCAGAGATGAAAACTACAGACTACTCGACATCACAAAACATATGCAACCAACAATGGGTGTAGTTGAGCCATTCATCCATAGATGGACGCTCACAACGATCCTAGTGAGCAAACGTGGAATGACTGGTTGCACCCTAAAATCTACCTATTGTGCATTACATAATACCCGTGCGGGGGTCTTGCCAGCTGCACCCATATAAAAAGTGAAGTAAATTGTTATTTTGCTTTGATTCCTAATCTTTCGAAAATATATCACACTTTATTTATTATAATCCTAATCATATTTGTTTGGTTTATATGTTAATTTACACGATTTATGGCAAATCTTGCCAAACTAATACATGCTACAAGTGAAAGTTAATACAAATAATTACACTTCAAATATTATAATCGCAGTTGTCGAAAAAATCGACGAAATGCACAAACCAACAGAGTTCACCCAAACCACCATTGTAAAACAAAAGCTCAACTGATTTTTTGAGCAATTAAAGAATGAGTCATGGTGGTGACAGAAAAAAGTATTACAACTTTCACAGCAAGTATTTATAAATGAAATATCGCACACCATTCCAAAAATAGGCAAGAACGTATTTAGTAATATCTGAAAAGTCAAGAAAACGTGAAATCGTAGCTACTTATAATCCATAATGACTGAAATCTGGTACAAGCCCAGTTTGTAACTTTTCTTCATATTTGATATAATTTCAATTTTAACAAAGTTACGCGATGTTATATTGTTATTTTTTTAAAGAATAGGAGGATATTTTATCTTGCATAACTACTTTTACTATTTCGGATTTTTTCCCTGAAAATAAGAATGACCCATATTGCCCCGCTTATAGTACCGAAATGATTTTTATACACCGATGCAGCTGCTGTGAGGCGGTTAAAGAAACTTTGTTAATCCGATTTTTGAACTGCCAAAGGTTAGTACAACCAGGAAAAGCGTCCAGAGATCAAAAAGATGCATAGAAAAGAACAAAAATTTAAAAACTGATATAGCCCCACACTTTGCTAAAAAAATATGACTTTTAGTGCTTAGAATGTATAAGAGCCGTTTTACACACAAGAGAATTACTCCGAAAATTATGGTCATAATTATGCCGAAAATTTTTGCTGTCGTATTACACGTAAAAGAATTCTTGTGAAAATTTTCATGGTAAAAATATAAAACCCGTTCTATATTATATGCGCGAGAATCGGCGCAGAGGGTTATTTCCGTGCATGTCAATATCAAATGTCAACGACAACAACAACATAACCTCACTTAACATTTGTGGGAGTGGTCCTGTTCGAGTCGTACGAAGGAGCGTTTATTGTTATTGTTTATTCATAATGTCGTGGAATCGGGAAGAATTTACAATGTTGTTGGAGGAGTACCAAAAATGGCCAAACCTGTACAAGGTGAAGTCACCCAATTACAAAAACAGAAATTTGCGGCGTCAGGCGCTGGATGCGATAGTCCAAGCATTGAGAAGTTTTATAATATTAACCAAGATCTCGATTTCAAAAATAAATTTAAATTATCGACGTCTGTTGTCTTTCCGATTATATTGGACGTCATACCCGTTAAGGTTATGTCCATTTGAAAATATAACTCTAATGCGCAGGCGTATCATATGAATTACTCCGAAATTTTCTTTGCTTGTGTCATACAGGTTGTAGAGAAAATCTTCAATATTTTTTCCATGCAAATTTTCAGCATAATTATGACCATAATTTTCGGAGTAATTCTCTTGTGTGTAAAACGGCTCTAAGTGGATAAATAAAAGAAATATACCGGTCGCACCCTGTACGTGTTGTCCCGAGACTGTCCGTTAGAGAAATGCAATAATGCCTGGTAATTCTTCTCATAATCTTCTAAACTGAGATAAGCAGGAATTGACGTATGTTTCAACTCTAATTTCCGAGCGTAGCGTGTTAATATCATAATAAAAATCATCGAAAGATAAGAATATACAGCCTGTGGGGCACGTGCTACTAAAAATTCAAACTCCCCGTTTCACCTGTTAGTACTCGGTGCTATTACAGAAACGTAAAAAAATTCACCCCACGTCAGTTGGTCATAGGTAACGTAATTACAATCGTCTTCTTCGTCGTTCGATTCAGGCGAAGTATATGCTGCAACAGAAGGCTGACGATTTCCTGACACCTGTTTCCCACCACCTTATTATAACGTGATGGGGCCGCGCTAGAAGGACATAGAAAAAATAGACGCGATGATCGAAATAAACAAAGGAGTTGATAGGTCATTTGGAAACGTTATAGAAACAACAGGTTGCACGTACCGGGTACGCATTCGTAAGCATTTTTAAAGTCGCGTGACGTCCGTTCAACCTCAGATACTCTTGACCAGTCTCTCAATACGGCGCCTTTACGTTCCGCGTCTCTGTCAGTGCTGGTTGTGTGGTTTTACTGATTTGTTTGTCGCCATGTGAAGTGCACTCAGTAATTCGGTTTTAAAAGCAAAACTACTGCTACATTTACCAGCAGCTTGTTGAATCAGACGCGCGATTCAAAACCGCCTGCTTCACGACAACGCTCGGCCTCACGTTACGGCAAGACTATAGACGCAACTGGTCAAGTTTTGTTGGAAATTACTGGATCGTCCACCATATGGAACAGACTTCCAACTTTTCCCAAAGCTTAAGGAATTTCTTGGCGGAAAGCGCTTCAAAAGTGGTGACATGATGAAACAAACAGTTACTAACTGGTTTAAAGGATAGGCGGCAGCGTTGTTTGACGACGGGATCTGAGGGCCGTATCGTCAGTCGTTTCTACAATTGTAGGACGCTTTTATGGCCTCCTTGATTTTCATAGTCTTTCCTCTCCTACAGAAAGGCTGGGATATTTCTAGATTTCTACGGTTCCGTGTCAGCCTCAGCGCTCTCCTATGTTTTCTTCTTAAATTGTAGGAAATTTCAGGCTATATAACAGATGATATATGTATGTATATCAAAAGCATGAACAATTTAATGCAAATAGATATTTTTAACATAACCTCAAAATAGAGCGCTGACACAAAAGAGTAGAAAACTATGAAAATCAAGGAGGCTATAAAGGCGTCCTACAATTTTAGGAACGACTAACGATACGGCTCTAAAAGCTGGTGCGGGGTTGCCTTATTGGGCAATTATTACGTCTCTTAGGGATTTTTTGGGGAATAAAACGTTCTGGAGGATTTTTTGCAAGAATAATAAAATCGTTGGATATTTTTGGGGTATTTTATTCCATGTTTAACTACGAATGTCACAAATGGAGAAGTAATAGCGAGTGCGCGTATCGTTTTAAGTTGTTCGATCAAGTTTTGAAAATAGCCTCTATTCACGGAAAAAATGTTTTGTTTGACTCCGTAGTCAACTAGTCCCCCCCTCCCTTCATCGGACTACTACTGAAATAGATTTAGGGGATTTTTCAAGCACTTCCAATTCTGGGGGACTGTTGTGCTTCTTATGGGAGAATTCTGTTTGATCCATCTGGCAACGCTGAGCTGGTGCCACGACTTTGCAAATGCTTAAATGTTTGTGGTAACTATATTGAAAAGTGACAAAACGTTCATATTTTAGTTTTTTATACAATTTACATTATCTGGCTGCAATACAAAACGGTTCTTACTTAACAAATGGCCCTCGTACGTTGTCATTACAACAAATTTGCTCTACAACATGTCAATTAATTTTTTTTTGTATATTAGATACTTAACATTACACAGTTATTCAATTTTAAAAAAAATTCAATACATGGCAGCAATGGCAATGCTCGTGCTCGTATGATATTGTTGCTTGTATTTTAAGATATGTGTATATCAAAACTTATGCCATGCCAAAGTACAATCCGCAAAATGTCGCGGAACGAACGCAGGCGACAAAATGCGTCAGCTCTTTTCAAATTACAAATCAAAATAAATTGCATTTTGTAAGAAATATAGCTAACAATCACCCATTGCAATCTGATTGACTATTGACGTCCTTTTTCGAATGCATAAAAGCAGGTAGAGAACTTATTTTCACACGGTTATACATTATACAGGTTTTTCGACAATGCTACCTATATATCCAGGTGCTTCTATTATGAAACTCCACACAATACAATTATTACCTACGTACCTACGTATGACTGCGATGAATAAATGCAAGTTTAGAGATCGGAAACGTACAATGAAAGTATCGCAAAGGTGCGAAAAATTGAAATTCGTGATCAATTAAAATTTAAGGAGGAATAGAGAATAGACTGGTGAAAACTACCCCCACCCCTACATAAATAATTAATCAGATTTTTTGGCAACTTTCCCGACAACTATATTATTTAGATCTTTTTATGTAGTTCATTTTTTATATATTCGATAGTTTTCGAGAAAAAACAATTGCATCAAGAGGTTCCCAGGCGTCTTATTAGTCCTTGAAGTGTCGTTAGCGGAAATAAACAAGGATGATATTACTTATTCCAACTTTATTTAATACAGTCAATAGTGCGAAACTTTCATTTTCGTTTCAGCAATACGACGCAAAAAATAGTTAACTTTCTCTAAGATGTCATTATTATTTAATGTATTTGCAGCATTTTGAATCATGTCCCATAGGCGTTGTCTATCTGAATCTCGTATACCTTTGTGTTTAATGCTCCTCATATAAAAAAATCGCAAGGATCCAGATCCAGCGAACGAGGTGGCCATTGCATAGGAGCTTCTTGACCTCTACCAATCCTGTATAACAGGGCATCAAACAGGTTCTTTTTTTTTCATGATCACTACATGATAAGACGTTTAATAAAGTTTTAGTATATCTGGAACTGTAATTAAATGGCCCCACAATGAAGAAATAATCATAGAATTTCATTTAAATGTCAAATACGATGCTGTCACTGTCAACTCAAACGTATTTTTACAAAATGTGTTCCAGCCAGATTAATATTTAAAACTGAAACTAGTCTTCTGACAACGCATGCGCGTTGAAGAAATTCGCAATTGTAAAACTCAAAACCATGAAATAAAATGAAAATAATCAGTGAAATAACCTAACTTCGCAAGATCATAATATAAATTTGTTGTCATGTTCCTGACGTCGTGATTTTATCATCGACCTACGTCCATTGATTACTTCAGTACAATTTATGGTATGACGTAATAGTCATCTTTCGTGATTTTGACTATATACACATAAGCACTAGCCGAGATTTCTTATTACGAGGATCGGTCAAGCAGCATCATTGCAAGCTGTTTATAAACAAGCCGAGCCATAGCGGCGCGCGGTGATTGGCCCCGCGGCAGCTGCGGAATACCTCGATCACATCGGGGCCTAACAAATAAATTTACATCAGGATCTGTTGATGAATGCGTGGCGTGCAAGGTGCACCTTGTGTTCTAACCTCGAGACAGTGCCTGTTTAGTGTGTAATCGTATAACACACGCTACGACGTAGTAGCATACGCGCTACCTGCTCCACACAAGCTGTGTCCATGTGACTGTCTACCACCTGCCACCTCTTGCTCTCGAGATCGGGAGACGCTCATTACTATAATTATATCAAGGATGAGATCCTCGCCCCCTTTCCCGTTTGGTCCAAAATCCGACCGAACGCGAGAAGTAAAAATGGCGTCAAGTAGATTGACTCTATATTTACTATGTCTTCGTTGGAGGTTTCAAACAGATGATTCAAATCGAAATCGAATCGTAATTAATCTTCGACCTCTGATTATATCAAACCATATAAAGCAGATCTATCATATTTCTGTTTCCTTGGCAGATCTAGGAAAAATATTTGTGGCTTATTATGCTTAATAGGTGTATAGTATTACTTCTTAATAATAGAAAGGTCTTTCACTGACACCAAATATACAACAGTTTACAATCATTATTCGGGTGGAAGTATTAAACTTGCGATAATATTCGAACTTTGGTTCACAAGTTTTATTAGATAGTTAATTTCCCCGTTCTTACCAGGTTCAGAAACTTCTTGATGATAGAACATCTTTGACTAATACTAAAGACGTTACATTCACAACAATATCTCAATTTCGAAATTTTTCGCGATTACACTACTTTTTCGCCAGATTTGGCATTGAAAGTAAAAAGTGTCGTCAAGTATATTGACTGCGCAATTTCAGCGATACGAGAGTATCAAAAAAAGACCGTCAAGTTGACAGCACTCCTCATGCAATTCTGGATAAATGGACTTTGTATACATACACGGATCCTAGTCAATTTTTGTACCATCTGGTAAGATATCGTTGTTCTTTTCACAAATGAATCGGCTTTACCTTGTACTACATTATATTGTAACTTAATCCATCTAGTTTTCAGTTTGTTTTTGTATAACTCGCTTTTTTTTCAAGTTACTTCTGTACGGGGTACCATTTTTTTGTGGCCAATAAAGAATTATTCTTATTAATATCCAAAGCATTGTTGACTTGGAAATAATTACTCCTCTAGCGCAAAAGTAATTATTTATAACTATTAATAACGGGTGATTTTTTAATTGGTATAGGATTTGATTTTCAAAAAAAAAACACAAAAAATTTGAAAAAACGATTAAATCTTTATTTGAGTCGATAGAACGGTCGATATAATTGAATGTTTAAAGATTATTTCATGTAAATGTTGGCCGCAGCTCCGCTTTAGATGGCCCATGCACAAGGTCCAATTTTGGCACACTCTCTCCAACATATCGGCCGGTATCTCACGAATAAATGCTTCAATATTGGCTTCCAGTGCGTCAATCGTTGCTGGTTTATCCCTGTAGACATTAGCCTTAACATGGCCCCACAAGAAATAGTCCAACGGCGTTAAATCACACGATCTAGACGGCCAATTGACGGGCCCCAAACGTGAGATAAACTGTTCACCGAACTCGCCTGTCAATATGGCCATTGTTTCGTGTGCGGTGTGGCATGTGGCACCGTCTTGTTGAAACCACATGTCAGCCAAGTCCAGCTCTTCCATTTTGGGCCAAAAAAAGTTTGTTATCATCGCACGGTAGCGCTCGCCATTCACAGTTACGTTCCGGCCATTGTCGTCTTTGAAGAAGTACGGCCCGATGATGCCACCGGCCCATAATCCACACCAAACAGTGCGGGTTCAAAATTTAGTCACAAGGTTCCGAATAGCTCCCTCAGTAGGCCGACCAAATTGCCCATAAATTGGAAGCAGTGCTCGATGCACTCTCTTAACCGAGCATGAATTTTGATAGTAAAATTCAATAATTTGCAAGCGTTGTTCGTTCGTAAGTCGATTCATGGTTAAATTATAGTCCAAACTGAACAAGTTTCACAATGACCCAAGACACGATTCACGCGTCATCTGTCAAAAACAGTGTTGCCAAAAAGATACTATCAAAAAAATCACCCATTACAAGTACTTATTCACAAATAACAGAATTATTACATAAAAAACAAAATAGATAAACATCATAAACAGCAAAAAGACAGTAATTGCAACATACAGAGAATAAAAGCAGTATCTGTACTTTGAAAGCTACTGCTTTTTTACTTTGATAAATTGATTTTATTTTAGGAAATGCAATTAGTGAAAATTTAAGCATTTTTTTAAATAGCATGATCAATGACATATTTTGTATATTGTAATAATAAAATAACTGTATTGGCGTCAAAAGTTGAAAAACACGGCTTGTCAATCAAGTGAGCTTATGTTGCGAAGCTTCAAGATTAATAAAAGTCGTACGAGGTCCATTTTACAAAATTGAAACTACGAAGAACATCCTTTTTCGTGTCCCGACATGCATAGAAGCCAACACAAAAACCCCCAAATGTACCTTCTTTGTGCCCTTTCTTTATATGCGATTATACACGATGCATAAAATTATCCAAGCTTTAATGCGCTCAGGGTGCAGGACTGAGGACAGTCAACTGTCCCGATCCGAGTCCAGGTGTTGAGCCCGTATTGTAGCCCTCTCCTTTCGTTTTTTTTCTTCTTCGTTTTTTCCACCGCGAGTTCTTCGACTCGAAATAAGGTAAACATGTTAAGGTGAAGAAACTAGCCGGCACGACATATGCCGGGTGCTTCGCCCTGGTCTATTATGTCAGTGCATCGGCCAAATAGGCAACAGGGTTGACGCCAGGATTAGGAATTCGAAAAAAAAATTAATTTCTTGCAGTGTTATCTCTAAGGTAACGTAACCCAAGCACATCTATTTGTTTTCCCGTACGTTGAAAATAAGTGTTCACTATAAGTATTGTGCAAACTTGAGAGTCAGATTTTTAGACTGTACTTGAGGCTTCCTTGGAAACAATGGATCTCTTCTTGGAAACAGTGAAACAATGACGCTTCCTTGAGGAACGTTCAAGGAAGGATTTTCATTTTGATTTCACAGTAGGCTGTAACGGGTGTCATCACAGGCTGTCATCAATGTCAGAAGCATTTTTCTTTGTCCGTATACAATAACAATAATAACAATAACAATACTATCTCTTGTGATACAAATAGTGTCAACCAAACAAAATTAAGGGTAAAATCTTGCTTAAAAGCATATTATTCAAATCTGTCTTGAAACATGCATCGATTGTATATGGTTATAGATTTAGTAATATTTTATATAATATTTTTTTAAATGCACTAAGTTTTACAATCTTTTTCACAACTGCTGGTAAATGATTAAAACGTTTTAGACAATTATAAAGAGGTCTTTTTTCAAACAATGCTAATCTATGCTTAGGATAAATAGTTAAAAACTCTAGTATGGTTACTTGTAGGCTCATTAACTGTGAACATTCGCTTATTTTTACATAGATATATGAGGCACTGTTGAATAAACACTCCAAAAACTGTTAACATACCGAATTCGCCTCTACATGATTCATTCAAATTCAAACCTAAAATATTTCTCAATATTCTCTTTTGTATTATCTATTTACATCTTGGGACGATTTGGTTTATGTGTGCTAAATACCACTAAACAATGCAAAATTATAATTTATTTGCTTCCTCGAATTACAGCGTAATCACAGAGAAGTGACAACTGCATATAGGCAACTATATGCTACTACCAGTTTTTATTTTCAATAACCCTTTAAATTTGACTAGTATCTCGGTCATATGCATATTCTTTTCGCTAAACTTTTTTTTATAATCGCATTTATGATAATTTGGGTAATTTTTCCTTTTTTTAAATACAATGTGCAACCAGCAAAGCAGTTAGGTGCAACTGGTTGCCTATGTTCAGTCTTTTATTCCTCTGTGATTGCGCTGTAATTCGAGGAAGCAAAAAAAGCATCATTATTTTGCATTGTTTATTGCTATTTAGCACAAATAAAACAAATCGTTCAAATTTTATCAACAACATGCTAAATATGTTTCGACCAGCAAACAAAAATATTGTCATTAATAAGAGCAACTGTTAGAGCCTAGCCGTAGCAGTAGCTGTGGAATAGCTTTGACAGTTCCAACGCTAGGTTTGTTTCTGCACGGCCAGTCAACATGTTCCGCAGGGGTATCACGTGTTGCCTAAATCTCATGAGGCTTGTTATTAATCTTTGATTCTGATGTGATGTAAAATCTGCTTCCGAGATGGCATTACTGGAGGTCTAAGATGTAAGTTGTATGTGTTGATGATAATTATATTGTGTTCTTGTCTCAAATACACTTAACCGAGATTCAAAGCTAGAAATTGGTTGCGCATCCACTTTTTCTTATCCATTCTGGAAATTACATATACAAATTTGAATTTAAAAAATGAGAGAGATAAATAATTATATTCACTGTACACTGTCGAATTACAAGCCATATACATGCTAACAGTAATTACACACAACGCAAGCGCGGTGATGATTTCCCGTAATTCTCCTCAGTTTTTCGTAATTTATAACTTTGAACATAACCTCTCTTCAGAAAGCACAACATATAAATAACCCGTCATATTCAGCATATTCAGTAATGATTTTCTCACACAGCAAATATCACTGATTTTATACACATGCAGACCAATACACATAATGATCCAGATGCGATCTTGCTATTCAACCAACTTTCTTCTCAGAGATAAAAACTACAGACACGGATCACTCAGCTTTACAAAACTATGCAACCAATAATGCGTGTAGTTTAGTTGAGTGATTCCTTCATAGATGGACGTTCACAACGATCCTAGTGAGCAAACGTGGAATAACTGTTTTCGCCCTAAAAACTACCTAGTCTGCAAGTTGACATCTTATAGTTTTTTTGACGTTTTGTAGGTTTTCTACGTGATACCAGTGCCGGTCTATTTTATGTTCGCTGTTCCAGCATCTTTGGTTTTTGTTCTGAACCAATTCGTTCCCTGAAAAATCTGTTCTGAATAAAATTTGGAAAACATTCCATGAATATATGGTACCGACAAGTTTAGGCACGCGCAGTTGTCGGGTTAACTACTGTAGGGAACATTTTCAAAGTCATACTTTCTTGTCTGCGTTTATGCCTTTTTATTTTGTAACATTGATTTGTGGTTTATATTTAAAACCAAGTCGACAGAAGAAACGTCGCATCCTAAAATAAAGTCAAGAAAAAATAAAATTATTTGGCG